GCCAGCACCGTCAAAGTAATCCGGCAGTAGATTACTTTTGATACAAGTCTACGTGGACCCGAATCACTGTTTCGTATACTTATCCCAGTCTACATGTGTACCAAGTTGAATTAACGAACAGCACAGTCACATATGATATCGCATTCGAAGCAGTCGTGCTCTTCGCTATACTATATATATAGTATATACATATGTGTGCAATGATGCAACGGTAAACATAATTTTGAAATTTCATGGGAATCCCTTTTGTAATTATGGACCAACGATATCGCGTGCGTGTATCGATATAGGAATGTATTACTATATTTCACATTAAAAGGATTATATCCTTGAGCTATAGTCCGATCGGGGTAACGCGTGCCGTTTGGTAATAAGAGATAAATTATTTTAATAAAATCGTTCCGCAAAGCCTCGAGACCCGGTAATTTCGATAGGAGGCGATAACGAGCCGTGTTAATTATCGGCGTCGGCGTCGCGGAAAGGAAATCCCATGGTTCGCGCGAAGGTGATTTCGTGGAGACTTTCACGTTGTCTCACTGGGAAACGAGCGAACCCGTCAATTAACGTCTCTCTCAATGCTGAAGGGTAAGTGTAATTTTTCTGTACCTTCACGTGGAACGCGGCCGCGTTTACCTGTCGTGCCGACAACTTGTCCAAGTGACGTACGCGCTCGATTAGCAGTCGATACGCGCATGCAATGGCACTATCGTCAAGCCGTTATCTATCGTCAAGAGATATCTGGAGCCTGGCTAAAAGCATGAAATATGGGCGAATAATTATATGTATGTATCATAAATGGTGACGAATCATGCACTTACCCTTCGTCTATCGGTATAAATCAATACGAACGCGGTATAGGAGTGACGAGATTGAACCGAGTAAAAAATATTGATTTTAAAGGACGCTAGTGGTCACTCGAAGTACGTAATGATAAACTCTCTATAAATTGATAGCATAAACAAGATCTTGACACAGGTGAGAAAAACAAGTAGAATTAACAAAGAATCGATCGTTTGTTTCGATTAATTATTATTACGATATTGTGAACACACATAGCGTACGGCTCGTGCGTAATTGCGGGACATAGTTTTTACGCCTGGCGTTTCATATGTTTTTCCATCGTGCTCGAAAAATATAACAATTGCAACGAGCCGTCCCACAGGACATCCCGACGTTCGTGACGTATCGCAAAATTATACCGTGTCGTAACTGGGAGCCTCGTATAATCTAATATAGATTGTAATGGATCTAAATGGAGCTACTAGAAAACATGCAGGGTAAAAGTAGCAAACCGTGTTAGATATATTTTATCTATCAGTAATATATACGCAAAGTGCGGAACTATCGCACGTAGGAAGTGTTACTCCTTTAACACTATTTTCACATTTTTATTAACTTCGGCATGCCTAATCGACAGCATGCATATGCATGGGTATACGACTGCGTTAAAGGGGTATACACCGAATAATTATAACGGGTGTCAAGTATAAGTCCGGACTAAAATATTTTCTTAGCTAACTCTTCCCCAACCAAAAGCCGACTTATATAGACTCATATAGACTTTACAAGGTGAACGCAAGGAAGTGCGTCACGTCCCGGGTATCATCCAGTGAAACGGCACGGTTATATAAAGATAAGCGAAACTTCATCCTAGCCGAAATTTCATTTTACGTCTTTCCAGATAATCACGCCATTATACAGGCCGATAATAACGGAAATCGTAAACGTAACGAATACAACGAGGACTTTGACTCTTGGTTCGATTCGCGTACCCGTAGGCAATTTTGCAAATGACTCATCCTGCGGGAACGGTCGTTAAGATCACCCACCCCACTCAACGTCTCCTCCCCCTGACTCGTGTAAGTTCAAAATGAAAATTTTTTAAAAAAATATATCATTATAAGTTACAAAAAAAATTTTGCAATATTTTGGCAACATTTTTATACGTAAACATATATGTACCTTTCAACGTGTTAATGATAAGGGTCTTTGAGAAGACACGGGACGTCGTCCCGATGCGACACGGAAGGATGCTACAGGAAGGAGAGCGAAGAGAGAGAACGCTTACGCGAGACAGGGTAAGAAAATATAAGCGCGATGCATTTGACAGGGACAGGTCGACGTGAAACTCTCGAGCGATCTCGTACAGTCTCGTAGCAGTTACGAGTGTAATATGCGTGTACGAGTAACCAAGCAGAAGGCTGGAGTAGCTCAAGGTCTGCTTCTTGCGATCCCGCTGCATGCCTGCCAACGGAATTAGCCTCATCCGCTAAACGATAGAATCTGTTAAGATGACAGCTGGCAGACATTGACTGAGTGCCACATTCAAACGAGCTTCGCTGATATATCGTTCGCCGTCGTTTTTCGTACTGGGAGTCAGATGCCTATATACATTGCTTATTAGCCACAAGCAGCTACTTAGACATCAGGTATGCGATTAGCGCCGATTACTGTCCCTGCGACACGAGGCTCAGACATTGACTTTTTCTTAACACTATTTCTTTTACCCTGTATACCAATACCTAACGCTGGCACGACATCCTACAGCAGTATGAATTTCGCCTTCGAATCATGAGGGATGCGTTGTTTATTTACCTTACGAATTGCTAGCAAGGCGTTTACGAAGACGACGGCCATCCTTGTTTTCGATATACTCAATTATTGCAACGATTCTACAAACACGTGTAGACGTTACTTTGCTTTTCGTTTGCCGTCCGAGAAGTTGACTGGAAGCGTCTCGCCTCCCCAGGTAGATAAATACGAGAATGGCGAAAACAAGTGAATATTATTCGTCAACGTGAAGCATTGAGTCTTTAACGAGTTTACGAGGTGAATCGGAAGGCCAAGGGAAACGTCTGTTAGGAGCCGCAGGAGCCACCGACTGACTCTAATGCCGAACGCGACACAAACTCCAGTCGGGTGTAGAAGTTCGGCTGATCGGCGTCCGAGCCGCGTAGGCACGTCGCTCGTTATAAATAATGTCAGCCTGCGACAAGAATACAAACGAACATTGTTCCGCAGTTCTGGCGACACGAACTGCCGATCAAACGATAATGAATCGTTTGGGATGCGTCGTGTTGGCCCCCGGCTATTTTCGGAGTCTCTTCGTGTGGTCGAGGACTCAACTGTCGTTGCCATAGGTACGTCAGACGTGATGTATACTTGAAGCATGTTTTTCTGAATGGATAAAACATAGTATTTATTTTTTTTTTTTTCAAAAAAAAAAAAGCATATTTACAACATGAAAAAATTAATCTTCCACCGTACTATAGCGAATGAAGAATACGTCGTGTCATAAGTGATAGATAAAAATGAAGGAAGATTGATGCTGTGTGTTACCTTATACGTATAGTATACATAGGTGCAAGCAAGCGTCCAGGGGTCTGATGGTGAACATATTAGGTTATGGAGGTCGCTTTTCCAGGCGTCCAAGTTATAAATGGCCGTAGCACGCCAAGCGTGGAACATAGCTGGCATGTGTGTGTATATATATATATATATGTATATATATATATAGCTAGACACCGCTTACTGTATTCCCTGGAAGCCAGGAGTGGCGTCGGGGCTCTAGGACATAGTCGATGGAGGCGCGCGAGCTAGCAGACTCCGATTTATGAGACCGTCATATTTCGCAAGTTGCGAGCCGGTAATTCCTGGCCGCGTGACGATTTATGGCCGCGGATGTTCCGCCTGCGCCATTAATCCTTCCCTTTCGGCCCGAATCGAACCTCCACCTATCCAGCCTCTTTCCCTCTGTTCCACCCTATCGCCGGAGTGCCCTGGGGCTGATCCATTCTTCTCCAGGTTCCTTCCCTTCCGGAGGCTCGCGTCGCCTGGCACTCGATGACGGCGCGCGATTAGCGACAGAGATTAGTCGGCCGATTTATGTCTTCCAGCAAATCCATGTCAAAACGATCTCGATCGCCGGTCCCGCTAAATTACAGGTGGGACAGGTATTCCACCGGACGGAGACGCGATTAGTCAGCCGAGCCGATTGTCTAATCTCTTCTCTGAATTCTCGCTCTCCTTGCAATAAATTCAATCGCTAACGAGTCTCTCAAGGTAAAAGTACGCGTCCTACTTGATTCCTCGTTAAGCCTGTCCTTTCGCGGACCGTTAAACGCCAATGAGAAAGTCACCGGAGCCGATTATCAAAGGCTGGAGATACTAGGATCGTTAAAACGTCACTGAACAAGGAATATATGTGTACCGTGTGTTCGTATATATACGTATAGGAAGAATAGCGAAATCAATGCTATTTCTCATATATATATATATATACACATAGGACTATGGTTACTCGTCGAAAATGTCTTGCGTTAATGTTACTATGACACGAAGGTATCTTGATGAGCTAATTAGCTTACAGGGTCTCGTTTGGTGCGTGATAACCGAACGTAACTATAATATCTGGGGAAGTCGTTCATGTCACGAAGAGGATGTTAACTTTGGTGTTAACGATAACCCAAGTTTCAGAAGGCGTCAACAGGCCATATATTATTCTCTCGGCGATGGTCGGGAATTTAGTAACAGCTGACACTGGTTGCCGATTGGTAGTCGTGTGACTGTAAAAAAAAAAGAAATATTTGACATTAAAATATATACGTTATGACGATACTGCAAAAGTAGTACTTTACACATTTTTATGGGTGTAATCTGACAAAGCTTACGGGTCCGCCTTATTTTTCTACCAACAATTCACGCCGTTCGGATAAACACGCAAAGAGATAAAACTGCTCGGTAGAAAATATGAGAAATCTTTATTAAAAGAATTTACAAGCATCCATATATATTATTCAACGACTTTATAATACCTGAAAGATAAATTCACTGGGTATTGCGAGGAAATACATTTTTTTTTTTCTTCTAATTGACAGCACAAGGATTTTCATAAATTAATCGATAATCGAACAGAGTTACGAGCTATCGTATCATGATATCATTGGTAATGAGTATTATTTCATATAATAATAATAATAACGACAATAGTTAATCAACAGGTATACCTAACCTCTGTCAGCCCCGACTAGAATGTCAGGCATCCAAAGACAAGTTATCCTCTACGCGGTATAGAATTACGATTAGAGATCGCACGAGGATCTTCAATTGCTGCATTTATATGTACGTATATTTTGTCCGAAGAATAATTAATGTTTTCTTTATTATCATTCACTGGATATGTATACGTTGCGGTAGAGCTACGTCGGGACGAAGTGGAGAAGCTGAGAATCTGTTGCACATGAAATATGCGTGGAATGAAAACTGTCAGACCTCGACGGGAGGCTGGTTGGGGGCGACAGCTCGCTAAATGTACAACCACCCCATGTTACGTCTACGTGGCATCTACACGGCGAAAGGCATACAGCGATATCGTTGTCCATGCGTCAGAAGAGCCCTGGCCGAAAAAATGTTGCAGATGCATGGTATTGACATTTCACCAACCGGGAGCCCGACAGCAGCAGCAGCAGCAGCAGCAGCAGGAGCAACACCAGGAGCAGGGGTACCAGCAGTCCATTAACTCCCGGAGCTGTCGCCACGACAAACCTCCAAGACCTCTTTGAGCGAACTGTCACGATACTGGCGCGAAATCATCCCCTGGTTTGAATTCGATCGAGTTTCAGATTCTTCTTTAAAAAAATTCTTACACGCTACTTCCCTTGGGTACTTGGCATAGATACACTCGTTCCCTTGAGAGGAATGCAATTTTATTTTATAAAATTATAAATTATATATATATGATATGAAATTTGACGTTAGTCGAGAGAAGGAAACGACAGACGAAAAAGATGGCAAAAAAATGAATGAGGTAAAAAAAAAACGAATAACAGTGAGTGACGGTAGAGGGATGAATGAGATAAGGGATGATTGGTTGGGGGGGGGTGGGGATTGATAAAAACTGAAAGAGGTTGGGAAAAATAACACGGTGATTTTTCAAGTAATCGTGGCTCGAGATTTGGTGACGCAAGGAATATTAGCATAGCGTCAAACTTATAATTGACAGGGGCTGATCGATATTTTAATTTATCTAAGGGAGGAGGGGGGGGACGAGATCGCCGACGCCGTCGGCGCACTTAACGAGTAAGGACAGCTCCCGTAGTGTCGGGACGTAGAAAATTGAAAAAGTGACGCGAACTATTCAGATGTCATATACCCCAGGGACGAGAGAGTCGAGAAAGATGATAGGAGAAAATAAAAAATAGAAAAAAAAGCTTCGCTTTGGAGCCGCCAATTACTTGGGCAATTATAGCCCACGAGTTACGTCACTACGGGAGGATCCAATTAACGTTGATTATATTATTGTAAATAAACGCCTACAGTATACCACACGCCATAATCTATTCTATATAATAAAATGATACGTTAATCTTTTCTACCATCTACTATGAATCTGTTACAGTGTACTGTACCGAGTGCCAGTACATACAGTGCCAGCCATACCTACAGATATATTTACATGCTATCTTACACGTGTACCAAACCTATTGACGTTATTATGGGTATAAACACGTAACACCATGTGCAAACGTACGTCTCTTAAATATTGAAGGAGTATATTTTCCGTGCCACTCCCGGTAGCTATAAACAGACTCGTCAAAACAGCATATGGACATTCTCCCCTGGCTCCGTGTTAATTCGCCTTCGACTAGAATCTTAGCGCATTGGACGTCACAGGCATTAATTCAGCATGCGTTCTCACTCGAGTCAATTCCCAGCGTGGACAGACGTAAGACGCTAACAGGACGGTCAACGAGTGAAAATACATAAGCGAAGTTGAGTAATTGCTGAAATCAATTCTATTGGACGTGGTTCAAAATACTCGAGCTCCGCCAATCGGAAGGTACGTCGGTGTTTGGATTAATTGTCAATCGAAGTGACGTTCCAGTCGTTACACGGATACACGAGAAGTCACTTCGCTGTATCTAAAAATAATCTTACAGATTTTCATTAATGAAGATTGAGATAAAACAAAATTTTATATTCATCCTAAGTGACCCGACGACCTGGGGGGTCAGCTTTAACCAGTTGACAATCGGAGATGCCGCTACGTCACCGTCCACGTCAATTACCCTCAGCCCACAGACGGGACTCGAATTAACGTCCTGTCCTACTAGCGTTCGACCATTAATTTGCATCTCCATCATCGCACCAGCGCTAAATAACTTGGCGGCAATTACTTAGCTGACAGATGTCGAGTCGCTACTGTTCTAATGACAGCGAGATATTATGCAAAAGTTGTTCCCGTGGACGCGACTGTTTGACGGTACCTTGTTTATAGGAGATGCATACGGAGTTAAGTAAGTTTATACACGTGTTATTATTAGCTTAATTAGAATATTCATGAGAGATTATAAATAGCGATAAAAATTCAACGGCTTCGCGCGGACTCGCTACAGGCGTCATATTTATTCTCTTTTTTCCATTTTCTTTTTTTTTCCCCTTCTTTTGCTGGAAATTATGCAATTTTTCAGTGAATCAAAACAGCGCGATTTGACAGGAGGACGTTGGTATTTATCGAGATAAGAGATCTCTGTGTAAGATGAACAAGGATGCTGGTTCAGGTGACTGAGAGAGAGTATTAACGATGCAAGGATGAGAAGACGCAAGAGGGGGTGAAGTAGTAGGAGGTTGGAACCCGGTATAGAAATTATACAAGATGCCCCCCCCCCCCCCCCCCACCTCACCGTTGATGCGAAGCAGACAAGACACGAGCGAGTCATGCTGGTCCATTGTTCGGCATAAGATTGGCCGACTCCGGCGGGCGTTTGACGAAGCCGCTCTGCTGCCTCTCGAAGATTGATTGGTAGTGATAGCGGCAGCCGAGAGCGAGCAGGCCGGCACAGAAGCTCAATAAGGGTAATTAATAGCTTCCCCCGCCAGTACCAACAGTGCAACAAAGAGGACGAAGATCTGAGCGTAGGATCCGTCGTGTCGGAACCTCTCTACCGGTGCTGCCCTCTACGAACTAGTTCCGTCCCAACGGGCAGATCTTTTCTCTCTTCGGTCCCCTGTCCATTCCTTCTTTCGTTCCTGCGCTCAGGCCGGATCGGCGGTTCGCGTTCCCCTCGTCAGGCAAAAACAAACAAGATGCCACGTACAGGAGGCTTAACAGTCACGTTCAGCCGAAGACGCGGCTCGGACAACAGCATTGCCCACGGGAGTTTCAATCATTGGCCGCGTCCGCCGCCGTCGTTTATATCTGTCAGTCTTGACTCCTCCTATCCCTGTGGCTCCCTCTACGTCGGAGAAGACCGAGAGAGGGGAAGCACCGGCCTGGTGACGATTTCTACCTTTTGCATTGCCGTTCTGTCATTTACGCAGGAATGTCTTTGAGATACGCGCATCGGGCACCGCTAGAAATTTAGCCGGTACTGACTCCCATAATCGGCTACCTGTCTCTGCCTACCGCGTTTACGAGTTTTCACATTGTCGAATTACCCCTCGGGAGATGTGCTTCCGTTCCTTCTCGAGATTCGCTTTTTATGGATCCTGCCGGTTCACGCTTGCGTGCTGTACCGTTTCACGATAACGATTAACCAATTAGCAATGATAAAGCGGCGAACAGCCTCTGGTACTTTGAGAAATAGGCCGACGTGGCTTTTATTAGATACCGCCTTGCGATAGCCACGCGTGCTACCGTATGTCTTGGGATCGCTTGAAAAAAAAAAAAAAAAAAAAAAAAAAAAAAAAAAAA